AAGTAAATGGGTTGACTCTCAAACTCAAAAGTCTTCCACAGCAGCTCAGAACTGATACAGCATCTCTAAAACCACTTCATGATGTGACACAAGGAATTATGTGTATAGAATGTTCAGGATGATTCTAGTTATATATTTTCACATGCCCCTTTCAATGTGTCCTTTCCCACATGGCCTTCTTATCATACAAACAAGCCAGTTTTATAAACACCTATCTAACTTCACAACAGGTTTGGAGCTCAGGTTCATTCATAATCTGCTACACAGGACTTTTGCCATGATGCCCAATATTCCCCCATCTGTGTGGAAAAGCAGTGGGTGGGGCCCTGTCCTGGTGACTCCATCCCCAATACGACCATGTTCCGACAACTTACAGTGTATGCAAGTTGAAGAGATGTGAAAAAGAGCATTTGCTCACATGTACATGTACATATATAAGTACTGTGCACAATTTTATGCATCCCGTTCACGTATCCCACTCAAAGTCTGAATATTGGTGACAGGGTGCACAATGATGTCACAGTACACTGAGGGAGACCTGGTCCTGGCCTCTTTACTGAATGCATCAGACACTGTGAAGAGGCTGAAAATAACAATGCCAGTTTTTGTGTAAAAACTGGGCAAGTCCAGAGTTCCTTCTCGTGATTCTGTGAACTGCTCTGTGTAAGAAGGCAGCAAAACCTTCCTGAAGTTGGACAACATCAGGCTACAGGTATGTGTTGTGCTGGACAGGGCATGTGTGTGAAGAACTGCTGGAATCTGTGGACAACTGCCCTTGCGGTTAGCCACTGAAGGTGGAAGCCTGCTCAAAGAGGTGCTTTTCAGGTCCTGAATGGTCCTAGATAGAAAACAGGATTACAGGATGTCCTGCTGCAGTTGACCCTTGATTGAGAAACACCATGCTCCTCAGGCACTACAGAACCCTGGGCTGCTTCTTGGGTCTTCCCTCCTAGTTAGCTTCTGGATTTTACCTCATGGTTTATCCTTCAATCCTACCATCCTCTTCCATCCATCTCAACCCTGGTTCTTGGTTTGTCCTTCAGTTTTTATTCTCCTATCCCGATTACCGGCTTGTCCCATGGATTCTGGCTCAAGTTAAGCTGCTACCCATAGCCCAGCCCTGACAATATGTTTGAATGCTCCCTTCGGAAAGAGTTCCCCAGGAGATTCTACTCTATAATACTCCCTAATAGATTTTCCCCAAGGATAGAGATTTCCCCCATACATGGAAGATTATTTACAAATACATTTCCCTCCATCTACTTGAAGCCTGAAGTTGTTCAATCCTGGAAAGCAAAAATAAAACCTAAAGTATTATAGTGTCTTTAAAGCTAACATATATATTTCAGCCTGAGTTTTTGTGTACTACAGCTCCCTTGTTTTTGTTACACAAGCAAAAAAAAAAGACAAGGTTACTTTTCTGGAAAAAGGGGGGATAAAAAAAAACAACTATATAAAGCGAGACAAATTGCAACTTTTTGTCTTTGATTAGGGTGGGCTCCCATGATTTTTCTCATAAAAAGTGAAGAAATTTGTCTCACCACAGAAATAAATTCATTTGAAATTACAGATATGATCAATTTATGTTTTAGTGTGGAGATGGGGGTATTTGTAAACGAATACCCCTGCACAGCTGGATGTAATGAGGGTCCGGCCCCCTGGGGCCAGACTGTCGACTCACGCATCCACCGCCACCAGCGGCTCCGCTCTCCCTTCCAATAACTCCGGAGCTTGCAGTCGGCTACCCACTCCTGGCAGAAGGAGGGAAGATGAGTCTCCCTGCCAGGCTGACAAGTGGATAGCTGACTGCGAGCTCTGGAGCGAACAGAAGGGAGAGTGGAGCCGGTGGTGGCAGTGGACACGAGTCAACAGTCTGGCCCCAGGGGGGCAGACCATCTTTACGTCCAACTGTGCGGGGGTATTTAATACCCCCGTCTCTATTTTAGTGTGCTCGTATGTTTCTAGGCCATTATGTGTCGGAACACATTATGAAGCATTTGAAATGTAGATGCATTTTAGATAATTAGGATTTAGAACAAGAACAATTAAGTTGAGAAAATGTTTAAAATCAAATAAAAAAAGAGGAAAAGGTCAAGGGAACAGGATATCTTTATCCTGCACTAAACAAGATTACAATGCCTCTTTTGAAGTTTCTTTACAGACAATGTCTTTACTGGCACAAACAATAATAGAACAAAGGGGATTCTGTAAGAGTCGTTTTAAGAAGAATTTAGAATCATTACCGAAAAAAAGCACTCAGTACTCACTGTTCCCCTGCTTAAGCAGCAATATCCTTATGTAATTACTGTCATTTTGTTCAACCAAACAAAACCATGGCTAATGGCCCCAAATTCTGAAATAATCAGTACTCTAGTGTTGACTTGTCACATTTAGAAGCAGCAACATTATCTCTTACTCATGTTTCCCCAAAGAGTGGTAATTATTACTTTCAAGGTGTTCCTTGGATCCTCTGGCTTTATGGTACATAATGCCAGATGGGAGAAGAAAAGTTCAGACTTACAAATGCATATTAAGTGTTCTTCAGAATATTTCAGTAACCTGGCCTTATGAAGCAGCCATAATGCTCCTCTTAAAATTTGCCATCTTGTTCTGATTGCTTCAGGACTGAGGATATTTAAAGCTGTTTACAGAGTGTGCCATCAAGCCTTCTAGTTCTCCTAAGAACATTCTATATTTCTATCTCACCAAAGAACTCTAGAGTGTATGGGCTTGTGTTGGGATACAACAATCTTCTATCAGAGAGATGTCTTTCAAAAAGCCCTTTAGCACATATTGCCCCTTCTTCACATCACTGGGCTCCTTACTATGTCTGTTATAACTATTTCTTGTTTGTCCAGTTGGGCTTGTGTTCCAAGCTGCTTCTTCACGACCTATTCTTACCAATCACCCATGTCACAGGGTTGAATACTTACTAAGGGATTACATACAGGGCTTGAAGTTTCCTCCCTCCAATTCTGTTGGAGTGTTTTTGCAACCTCATATACTGCTCTTTGCAGTTTTGGCTGGCAGTGATCTTTCTGGGCTGAGGTGTCTGTCAATCTACCCAACACTAACCAATCATTCTTTCCCTGCCCCTGAGTTTAAAGAAAACCTCACCTCTCTCTTGAGCAGTTTTCCTCTATAAGCAGTTAGTCTGTTCAGGCCTGTTGTTGAAAGCAATCATGTTTGTCAGTCTGCTTTCATTTGTTCAATTGTAAGTAATGAATTTTTTTTTATTCTTTCTCTTACTAGTGTCCCAAAATGAGTTACTGAGACTGTAAGTGCCAATTAATGAGCAAAAAATGAGTAGTCTACTTTGAGGAACATGAAGCTGTTCTGCTCTGTACATCCCTGCACTTCTATTGCACAGCTAGAGGAGTTTAACCAAAATTCAAAACAGCAACAAATTCCAGAAACAGAAGTTGACCAGACTAACACTTCAATTCTGTTTTGAGTACTCATGATGAAATAGCCTCTTCCATCACATCTGAGGAAAGCAAGGTAGGTCAGGGGATCAGGAAAGCTGGACTGCACACACAGATGAGTCCTCCAACAGAAGCAAATGATCCAGTGGCTCAGTCACAACATCTAGGCTATTTACTCCTACTCCTCAGAATCGGCCACCTGAGGCTGTTGTCTCTCTTTGCCCAATAGTAGGTCTGGCCCTGTCAATTTCGTGTAAGTCAGTGCGGCCTCAATAAATGCTTAACACAGTGCCAAGCAAAACTATTATCTGCAAATAGTTTCACAAAATATAAAATACCAGCCTATTTATGAACTGGAAATCATGAACTGGAATTAACTCTCTCCCCGCAACTACCACCCTACTCTGCCTGCATCTGTATCTGTGTGAACCCTGTAATATGTCTCAGAGATTGGATCAGATATGAGTCACCAAAGCATGCAAACAGGTCATGCATCTTTCATAGATGTAATGCTTTTACACCTCCCAACATATACTGGAAGGTATATACTGACAAATTCAATACTGAGAGGATGAGGAACAGTGAGAGCAGAAGCCCTAATCTATTACCAAGGCCCCTTTTTTGTTACACAAAGCAACTACTCACTAAGAACATCTCTTACATTCTTCCACATTATTCTAGATGGTTTAGTGCATTTTGGTTGAAAAAAAAAAGTACTCTACGGTAACCTGTTCTGAGCCCTAGTTCAAATTCTATGCCTTGTATGAAATTGAGAGTATCTTGTAGATAAGCACTTCCTCTCAAGTGTCACCTAGATTTTTCTTTTAAAATTCTTGCTTCTGTAAAGCCAGAGTTCCATGTTCAGTCAAAACTAGACTGCTCTGGATTAACGTACGTGAAGAAAGCAGGGAATAACCAAATATTACACACTGCCTTATTAGTTCTCCTGGCTTGTTAACAATCAGCAAGATAACTATAGCTTTGGTTTGGCCAGAACAGGCACCTCTGACTTTAGGCTAGCCAGAAAGAAAGCCCAGTAGTGATATGCAGAGGGACAGGCAAAAATAAGGACAGCCCAGCCCAAAAATAAGGACAGCTGTGACACTTGTTCTTGCCTTCATATAGTTCATGAGACCTATAATAAGTGTCTTAATTAGGGCACTGCTTCTTTTTACAGGAGGACAAAATGTGATCTTTGTCAGTCTTACTATGGGGCACAGCTTTTAGAAAAGGAAGCAGCTGTTTTTGTCACACGGGTTTCTCATCCGGGCCTTTCTACCAAACCTGGTAATTCCAGGACTCATTATTTGCAATACGACATTTTCCAAAGAAGGTGACAGCCAAGTTTACGGTTGGTCAGTTCTTAAGATAATCCATCAATAAACTTGAGATGAGAGAAAAGCAACTGTTTTAAAACTGTAAAGACATACGGACTAGATGATGCAAAACAGTCTTTTCTATAGATGTACATTCTCAATTGAATGTAACCCACATAAATGAACTGCTTTATGAAATTAGTGCAGATAAAGGTAAAATGACATGACAAGTGTTAGTAAAATTGACATGGATATTTACCTTTTGATGATGAGCTATAACTCTCTTGTTCTTCAATGAATAAAATGCACGGAATGATGGGAACAAAAGAAAGAAATCAGCAAATTTAAAGTTAGACAAAAAAAGGTGTTACACATGAGAATGAGAAACACTATATGCCCAGTTGCAGCATGCATCAAGTTAATGTAGGGAAGCTTGGATGTCAAAACCACAGCAAGTTATAGAGTTTACAGCCAAGAAGCACACCCAAACCCACTGAAATCAATTTCTTCAAAACAGTTAACATTCTGATGGGTCGTGGCTGGATTTATTATTATTATTTTTTGCCCTGTTAAATATTTGAAATAAAGAAGCCATTCAAAAGTTATACCCTTATTGGACAAGAACAACACTTATGAAAACAAGCATGGGGAAAGGAGTTACTGGCATGAAAAGACTCATCTCCACCCATCAGTTTTCAACAGAGTCTATCATTTAAGAATTTCACACTAAGGCAAAAATTAAATGTACTATTAGCATCAAATGTAATTTTGAACATGTAGTTTCTTTTTATTCGCTGCATATTAAGAACAATTGCATACGGTAATTATTGGCTTATCATCAGCAAGCACTCTCTACTTCGCAGAACTTGCATTGCAAACAATGGGGAAAGCTAAAACACAAAGGGTGACGCACTACGTGAGTATGGGAACAAAAGATTGAATAAATGAATAGCTAGTCCAGGAATTTTCAAAGAGCAATTTTCACAACTTTTAAAACTTCTCTCACAATCATCCACAATAATTAAATGTTTTCTGCTTTATTTACATGCATTACCTTAAGAAGAAACCAAATTCACTTTTTTTTAAAGCAGTGGTTGTTATTTTTTTTCTTGCTGTTATACAATACTCTAGTGAACAATGGCATCATTTAAAGACAAAATTTCAAAGGCATTTGCAACAACTTATGCATGTGAACAGGAAACACATTATTTCAATCAAAGTACCGTTCTCCCTGTCTGAAACCTAAACCAGAGAATACTCTGATTAGATTACTCAAAATAACAATGTCATGTATTAAAGGATCAATAATTGCCTTATACACATCTTAGTCCCAAATGGAATTGTATTTAATTGTCATTAATTGTATTTTATTGTCAGTTCCAACTATTTTTAAATGAGAGCTATTATATAAAAATTACTACATTACCCAAATGCTATATTTTATATAATTTATCGTATATATTTTATATCACTGGTAGTATTTGTGAAAATAATACAAGAAAAGTAATCTAAGACATGTCCACTTGTCTGAAGTTTTGCTGGCATTTCTCTTTGTTAAACCAAACAGCCATAAACTCTGAAAAGTTGACATTCCCCAATCTTATATGTAAGACAGCCTGAGAAATTTCAGAAAGTAGCCGGCCTGCAAACCAATACACAGCCAAATATTAAACTCCTGTTAATCAAATAATGTTTTCCTGATACAAACAGCTGGAATCAATTAATCAATGAATGTAAATTTCGGTTACATTCTCTGCAATTAAGCAGTACATTTTACATAAAATATACTGTTGGAGAAATAAAAACGGTGACTTTCCTGCATATTTTCACCTGAATCAGGGTCTGAAAAGTTGACGGCAAAATGATGCAAGGCAAAATGATGCAATTATATAGGATTGTAGTTCTGCATAGGAACATAGTACCAGTTCAGATATTCTTCCCTCACAGCTAGATGATCATCTGTAAAAGTAATCTCCTATTTTTTTCTTTTTGCAACAAACTATATGCCTTCAACAAAACCTTTATGTGTTCATAAAATGAAGTCAGTCATTGGTTACAATATATTTGGTTACAAAACAAGCCAATAAATTTTTCAAAAGTTATAATATGCAAATAATAGGTTATTAAAACGTATGCATTGCTGTGCTGAAACCCCAAGAGATTTATATATGTTTAAGCTAATATGGTTGCAGAAATATATAGAAACCCCTTTGCTTTTTCCCCATAAGAATGTGGAAAGAAATGGACCTAATTGCACACCGATGGCAGTCCTAAAATGATGCTGACAATCTAATTCCATTAAAGTCAGTAAATGTATAAAGAACAAGTATAAGAATGGAATCTTGGCATTACAGCTGTCAGGTATCACATCCATAATCATCAGTAAGTTCAGGCCGTGGGGAGGCAAAACAATAATAACAGAATCAGGTGTTTTTAAGCAACTGTATATTCGCTCTGCAGAACCGTACTTCCCCACCCCACCCCGCCCCACACAGTATAGCTTTTCCCCTATCTTTCCCACTCTATCCCACTGCTTGCTCTTTCTTGCAACAACTGAACAGAAAGCTAGTGATACTGCCACAAACTACGAACAGGCAGGAAGCATCACTATCAGACCAAGTAATTTGCTAAATTCTCTACTGAAGATGAAAACCTTCAAAAAACAATGGTTTGTTACAACATTTTACTGTCAATAACCCTCTTCAGTTATAACAGCCATTGCTACTTTTGCTTACACTGACATGACTTTATTTGGTTCTTACTACACAGTCTTGTCTATTTTTGAACCCATCTTGATAATAGAACAAAAATGATACAAGAGACTCCCATTTCCAAACATTTCCTTACTTTTTATGCAGTAAAATACAGCAGAATGTAGACATGGTCTAGAGGGGCAGGGAAAAAAATCCAATAAATAAATAAATAGAAAAGAAAAAGTTCCTCTTAGATACTCAGTGGAACACAACAAAAAAGGATTGAAATATGTCGTCTTGTAACATATTGACAGGTAGCTCTGCCATCAGCTATATATCTCAATGATATATTGTACATCAGATTAATATCATTAGAAACTGATGTTGTAATGGAGGCAAAGCCTAGTAAACTGAATTAATCTCTCCTTGATTTTACTGTATGTCAGCCCTTGTACAATGGTTAGATCTCTGTTTTGGATTGTTTGGTGAAACTTCTAACCCCATGGATTACATGTATATTTTTCAGCGTCTACATTGCCATCACACAAACACTTGTCTACAAGCTGAGCTTCACTGTATGTAATGAAGAACCACTGAAGCTGGATATAGTAGTTAAATAAAAAAAATCTCTTGCATTGAGTGAAAATACAGTATGTTTATTTGGCATGCAGGATGGACTGAAAACACACAAGGCAATGGGCATATCTTGCCAGGTTATCATTAGCTGCAAAGATACTCACAAGGAATGGCATCTTATAATAAAACAAGCTTTACTTTTATTAATGATGATATTCCCCCTCCCATTTTTTAATAGCTATTAATCCTGTATTCTCAATTAATTATGTTTTTCGTACTGTGGGTTTATTTTTCAAGAAAAAAAATCAAAAAGAGAGAACAGACCAATCACTTCTACCACAAAAGGTCAGAAGCCAGTCAGAAACATTTAACCCAGATACTCATCATTAAATTTGCACCAACATACAAGGTAAAAACTCAGACCTTATAGTAAATTAAATTAAGTGCATTTAACTACAAGAACAACTATGTTAAGAAACACTCACAGCTGCACATTTTAAATATACGTTTTCTAAGCAACTTAAGCCAGTTTTACATTTTAGTTTTATAGTCCAAAACAGATTGATCAAAGATCCCTGTCAGTATCATATGAATTGAAATAATATCATTATTACAATTTACTATCCAGTGATAAGAAAGCATAGGAAAGATTCCCACACCCATGAAAAATGTTCTGCAAAATACAAATTCTACCCCACTGATTTTCTTATACATTATGCCAAGAGAAATTACAAATGAAAATTCACAAAATACTCTGTCTGTGCTCTGTATTGCACACCTGCTGTATTGCTGACATTCCAAAAAAGCCCAATATGGTGAACTGCAATGTAGAATATTTTTAACAGATTCTTAGTGAGACCTTAGTTAAATCAATGAGACTGTAACAATATGAAATAAGAGGAGCAAGTCAAAATCATATGTATACAGTAGCAAATATCAAGTGGGAAATGTATGTTATGTGTTGGAAAACAACCTTCTGGTATGTAGTTCATATTTAGTAACCGTACAATGATGTCTCTTGTCCTTTTTTCATTAGGAAACATACACCTTTGATGCATGAATTAGCAAAGAATACAAATTTGAGCTGTCTCGTCCTCAGCATGGAATCACATCAAGAAGGATGTAAGCTATTAATATTACTTTTTGAATTCTGAAATGCTTCATTTGAAAAGTACACAATCTAAACATGTGAATAATGTCTAAACTGAAATAGCTGCGGTTTATTGCACTTTTTAGACAGGAGGCATATAATTTTAAAAAAAATCCAGTCATTTTATTGTAAATATGATGAAGAAACACAAATATCAGTATCTGTTGGATACTAACTTCAGTACTGTATCTGCCTCAACCACCTATCTCAGGCTTTCACTGAAATGTTTCATGTTTCTTCCTACCAGCCCCTTTGTACTCAATCTATGACATGCTCAGAAAGGGATATAAATTAGGACCATTCACATTCCTGTCAACAATATGCAAATTCGCCGTAGTTAGTTAATAAAATAAAATGAGTTACATGTGAATCAATAGAATTGATTACTCTTAAGTGCCTCAGTCAGCCCTTTGCATAAAATAAAAAATAAATTAGATCACAACTAACCAGAAGTATCTGCCCAATGGCTTTAAAGGTGCAAAAAAGAACCAGAAAACATATCATTTTTTAAAAAAGTACCGAGAAATGATCAACTGCACCAGACTGCTTTGCAATCTACTTTTTAATAACAGTAGGGCTTTATCAGTAGAAACTTATAAAGCAGTGATGCTTTTGTTGAACAAGTTCAAGATATCTTTTTTTTGGGGGGGGGGAAGAAAGAAAAATGGAAGAACACAAACCTAAAATTTTGAACTACAAGTTTGTATTTGATACCTTGCTCTATACTGGCACTTCTGATAGGGACTTGTGGAAGCTGTCTTCCTCTACGGCTGCCGAAGGGTGTGTCTGCTGGAGAGGACTGCATGGGACTTCCCGGTGGGTGTATTCTGTAGACAGATTGAGATGAAATGGGATGATGTAACAAACCTCTGAACCAAAGAGACATTACAAGCACTGAACAATATATCTTTGTTAAAACATCTGTAAAACAGAGAGGAAATACCATTTCCCATGAGCTACTAATATTTGTTCCCATCAAGGAATAGTCATTTTAGCTTGTTCAGAAGTGTAAAACATTTTGAAAAAGTTCCTTTTGATGCACTAAATCAGGGAGGGGCAAATACTAACAACTAATTCAATTCATTATTGACTTAAAACCAATAAAACCATCAATCTCAGCATCAACAAGGAATGCCGCATTGTTATTTAAGTGCATAGACTACTCCATTTGGAAAGCTACGGATAACAATGGGTGTGTGTGTGTACATGCACATGTAAGAAAAATATGCAAGATGTATGTATGTATGGAGACCTTCCTTATTTCCCCCTTCTCTGAAACATGACTATTGATCAGCACAGGAATCATAAACTGACTATGTATGAGAAGCAGTAGTTTCAAAATCTTATCAATCAAATGTAAAGACTATTCAAAGGACCACCAACTCATTTTAATTCTTCCAATCTAATTTGGTGCATGTATACAATTTCAAACACAGTACCAGTACAAAGCTGTCTACTGATATTTTATAGAATTAGACTAAATATTGTTATTATAAATGTTGTTATATGTTGGAAATAAACAGAGTGTGTTCGCACATCACAAGCCATGAATTTTCTAAGAGTAGGGTCTCAGAGCATTTTAATTCTATTGCAGGGAGGAGTTACACGCACCTTCCTTCATCTCTATCTTTTCTCTTTTGACATCATGGCTTCAGAAAATTAAATTGGCACTATTCTCCCTAGCTACAGTATTTCCAGGAAATTGCACAAATGCCATACTAGGTATTGGAACGATAACAAGATGCTGTCACTGGAAGACAAATAACTACTGTGAAACAGTCAAATATAATTGAAGCAGAGGTAAAGTGTTTTTTTAAAATGACCATTTCCATCTTATAAGGGATAAAGTGATGGAAACATTTTCCTAGACTAGGAATTATTGTTGACATTCTTTTTATGGCTTTTTCCATATGTGACATCCATATGGCGAGAGGAAACCTAGAATTTTATGGGTATTTCCTTCTTCATATGAAGTATTAAGAAAATGCATGATGTGAGAACACAGTCCTTGTCAGGTGAACAGGCTTTTTTATTCAGTTCTTTTTTTAAAAAAAACAACATGAAATATTCATAAAGCTCTCATATGAATACGCAACACAACGAAACAATGGAAAGACAAAACACAGGCAGCATTAAACTATTGTGATAAGTTTCTTTTTTTTAATGACTTAGAATTTAGATAGTGGAGAAAGATTTAGCAGAAGATATGGGGGGGAAATGTTGAGATCATGGGAGGAAAACATGGTACTGGAGCTCCAGAATGAGTGAATGCACTGCATGTATTCCAGAAAGTACACCACCACATCAACATCTGGGAGGCAGAAAACAAATGCTGTGCTGTACATTTAATAGCAACCTTGTCTGAAGTGGAGAAGGTGGTGCCGACCCTCCAGGAGCTAGGTGATGTACAGAACAGAATGGTCTGATACTAGAGTGTTCACTCGACCTTGAGCGAGTGTGATGTTTTCCCCTAGTAATGATTGGCTGATCACTGATTCTTGGGGTTGGTCCCCTTCTAGAAACACATGGCAGTAGAACCCTAAAACATTAGGGCCAAAAAAAGAAATTGTTTCAGTCATTAACTGCATATAAATTTCACATACTCACTCACACCCGCACACATGTTCATCAACTTATAGACCGTAAGGATCTCATGACCAGGGCAGGGTAGCGTCCCTGAAATCTGAGGGTGAGGTGCTGCTCTTCTGATCAGTCCGCAAGCCACCCTGGTTTTGTACCCATTATTTCCAGAGTCAATAAAATTAACTATTATTATAAATTACAATTATTTGGAAGTGATAACACAGCAGGTTTACAACTTACTGCACAGAATTATGGCACGTATGGAATGATGGTGCGGTTCAAAGAAAGATTTTCCAGTGAACAAGAATAAATGTCTTCCAATTTGGAGCAAATAAATAAATCCCTTGTACATCTCAAAAAGCATAATGTTAAAGCTGTCCATTAACAAAAAGAAAGAAAAATGGCAAAGCCTTTTCCAGAATCAGTAGGTATGCATTTCTAACACATGCAAATCTTCTTATATTCAGTTTTGGAATATATTAGAGTCTATGACATGTTGGCTGTAAGGTGGAGAAAAATGCTCCTGCAAAATATAACCTGGGTTCTCCTCCTTAGTAACTGTTCAAAATGTGTTCCCTCTTGCTAACAAAATAGAGTTGGAACAGATAACCACTTACTACATAGTTGGCATGTAAAAACATCCTATGTGGCTCCTACTTGCATAGAAAGCCAGCTGCACATATAGCCAGCCAAGAGCTGCTAGGTTTCCAAACCAGAAGCAAGCACTATGCATGTTAATGTTTAGTTCTCTATATCGTTAGAGCCAAAGGTGACTGGTCCACTGTGTGCAGTTAGTGAAAACTCACAGGATATTAATTGTATTTTAATTGTTCTAAATTTTTATTGTATTTTAAATGTTGTAAGCTGCCCAGAGACCTTTGGGTAGTGTGGGCGGCATATTAATTAATTAATTAATTAATTAATTAATTAATTAATTAATTAAAGTTATGAAATGGCAACTAAGCAGGAAGTGAAGAGTTATTTTCACCCATAACTAATTAATGTGTTCAGTCCATGACAACACATCTCTTACTAATCCTCTTCCAAGGGGAGAAAAATCCAAACCCTTGTCTTGTGTTGAGTGAGTTCTGAGATGTTTGCTGAATTTCAGTGCATCGAGGCTTAGCAAGGAGGTTAGGATTAGTTTACTGTGTGAGTCATGCCTACTTTCTAGTCCTGTGTGAATTCTGCAACAATATGTAATCCCAGGTGACTAGAATGTTGTATCTGAGGGTTAAAAAACATTTCAGAAGAAGGAAGTTCTATGTTAATTCCCATAGTCATAAATTGGATGAGTTTAAATTAGGGGTGTAATTCTGGATGCGAAGAAAGTATCTACATTTGTTCCCTTGGCATGTAAAAACAGGATTATTTTAAGAAAAAAAAAATTGGGATATCAAAATTGGGGGCTGTTCACAGATCATCTCTACCTCAACAAGAAAGGTTACATTGACACATTGGGACAACTCATCAAAAAAAATGTCAAGACTACCTCTCTAACATGCACTCTGCCCTGGGGGGAAGGACCGAACAAAATGAAATCATGTATGCTGGGGACAGGAAGAATCGTATGCCTCAGGCAGAAGAACATCTCGCATTTTATCTTCATTCTGTTGGCTGTGATTGCTGGATTTTAGTGTGGATAAACTGGAAGTAATGGTGGCTGATTTAACAGAGCAAGTGAGGCACCATTCCACCCCAGGCTGAGATGACATCCAAGCAGTCCACTCCTGCTAGCTCTTGTATCTGAAGAAAAAGGTCAACATCCCACCTACGTTTCCTTTCAGCAGAACTCAACAGATGGGAAATCTTGACATCTGAGGCCTCCCCCAATTTGAAGAGGCACTTGTTCAGCAGGCCGTGGCAGAGAGGCAGTCCCAAACCCAGCAAAATCAGGGAGCTGGACAGGGGACAGATTGTATTTGTCTTCAGTGTGGAAGGGACTGTCACTCTCGAATTGGCCTTCTCAGCCACACTAGACGCTGTTCCAAGACCTCTATTCAGAGCACGTTACCACAGTCTCTCGAGACTGAAGGATGCCTACATTCTGAACTCTCAGCCTACATGACTGAGTCTGTGCGTGCAGAATCAATATGAGAGAATGAATATGAAGAAACAAGTCAACCACCCTGCTTAGAAACCAGGTACAGAGGGGAGCAGTGGCGGGTGCCAGCTATTTTGGAACAGAGTGTTTTTTATTTCCTCTTTAGCTGAGTTGTGGTCTGAAAGAATGAGCTGTTGTGAGGCAGTGTCTGAGTGAATGCTCACCTGCCTGCCTCTGCCTGCAAGTGTGTATGAATACTTGCTTGCCTATTTCTAGCATTTGTATATTTATGTACAGGACTACCCCTTCCATCCTGGCCTAATCTGACATTGCTGGCTCTGCCTCTCACCACTGGTTGCTGAGCCTTCCACTACTACCCAATCAAAATGAGGACTAGTTATTAACGGCTGAAAGGAATCCATCCATCTAAATATTACTAAATGTGCTCATGTGATCATTTAAAGTTAGGCCTGTCTTAACCTCTTCAAGCAAATCAAAAGGGATTCTGACAAGCTTCAAGCTGAACTAACCTCAGGCTTCTAGTAAGAAATTGTATAATCTATCTAATCCCCACATTGTTAAGGGCAGGACCTTTTAGAGGTTACTAAATCACAAGGGTTCCATGGGTAGGAAGAAACTTGATGGCACATAATAACAACGACAAATCAACACATGTCAATAATCTCAAACAGACTGGTGACTTTACAAGTTGTTCAATCAAATTAGGCCTTGGATACTAGGTTAAAAACTACTAATTAATTCCACCCAACCCTAAGTGCTCATTATAATCTGACTAATTTTTCTACTTCACTGATCAAATCCACAAAGCCCTTATGTCAACACCCTTCTTTTGCAAAATAATAATAATAATAATAATAATAATAATAATAATAATAATAATAATAATAATAATAATAATAATAATAATAATGATGATGATGATGATGATGATGATGATGATGATGATGATGATGATGATGGTGATGATGATGATGATGATGCTTCACTGAAGTAGTAACTTCTCATTCTGTATTTCTTCCCACATCCACTAGTACTTTAGGTTTTTGTTAACAGGAAAGGAAGGAAACAATGTGGCAAAGTCAGGAAGTAACATGATCACATGTTGGTGGTCCCCAATCTTTAAGAAACCAGGGTCCAGTTGGGGGAGCGGGGTCCGTGGCGTGTTCATGGGTGGGTGCAGCATGTCTGCAGATGGGCGCGGCATGCTCGCGTGCATGCGCAGATGGGTGTGGTACACTCACGGGTGAGTGGCCGTGTGTGAGAGTGAGTGTCCCACACCCATCCGCAAATGCACCCACTCACCTGCGCATATACACGAGTGTGCCACGCCCACCATGCGTGTGTGCAGGGGGGCCGGGAGATCTGTCTCTGTGGCCCAGTCCTGTGAAGCCCATGGACCGGCACCGGGCCGTGGACAGGGGTTGGGTACCCCCGATCTAAAGCATATCATCTAATTATATTTTACTTAGCGGGATGGACCAAGAGGTTTCATTACCTGAGGCAACAGACACAATGGCACAGAACACATCCATTCCACATTCTGAAGTCAACTTAGCAGATGAAACTCACTTCAGCTGCAGCTGTTAGGAACAGCAGATTAGTTTAGGCAAACCATGCAACACACACTATCATTATCTGTCTGTCCCTCCCTCTCTCATACACACAAACATACGTCACAAGATCTGCTGCTTCCATTAGCACCTTCAGGCTGCTTAATCACTAGCCCTGGCTTTCAGACATTTAGCCCTTAACTTTTTCAGTGGTTGGAAGTTCTGGGATTTCAGTCTGCTTCAGCATTATGCTTTCTTCACTTCCACATTTTTTTCCATCTAGAAACTTAAAGCAGTACACAAAGGTTTCCCAGAGTGTCTGACAGCACTGAGTGGATTCATAGTTTCAATACAGTCTCTCACACTATGTCCTGACTGTCTAAGATAAAAGCACACCCCTACAAGTACTTCATACCACACAACTATTTTTTTTGCTTTAAGTGATTAAAAGAAGTGTGTTGTGTACAGTATTTGCTGATATGTCCTTCCTTCCTTCCATCCATCCATCCATCCATCCATCCATCCATCCATCCATCCATCCATCCATCCATCCATCCATCCATCCATCCATCTATATGTCTTTAGCCCTTTGGTTATATATCTCTGCAGGAATGTGATCCCCCCAAATTTATCTAAAATTTAATTTGGCCCTCTGAGTGAAAAACATTCCCTATCCTCTCCTTACTGCCACCACTGCTATCACTCAATGCACATCTATAAAAAGGCTCAGTCCACATTTGTCCTCTAAACTAGGCATGGTGCAGGGAGGGGTGGTGTGAGGAACAGCAAATCAGGAAATGAAGAACCAATGCATGTTTCCTCAGAAGTAAATCTCAGTATGTTTCTTACATTTTATTCCTGGTCAAGTGTGTATGCAACCACAGTCAAATGTAATAGGGAACAATGAACGAAAAATATGTTTGGAGAAAAAAAACACAATGTTAAGACTTGGGTTTTGTTTCATTTTTAAGTGGAAACAGATAAAGCAATATGGAGATATGGAGGTAGGAAATAACTTTCACTTAGACTTGTACACAGGACGTGCATGGAAAGACAACATTTATCCTTGGAACAAGGAGAGGAGGCCGAGTGTTTAATAAAGAAAGAAATGAAACGATCAAACCTTGCAAAAACATGTTATTTTTAATAATTTATCCTTGTAACACCATCTTAAAGTGTTATTAAACCAGTCTTTACTGGAGTAAAAATCCAGAAAAATCTAATCTTATTTCAGGCTTACTTCAATAAATTTCACAGTTCAGGAAATAACTGTCTGATATCTGATGCAAGAATGTTGTTGAGTGCAAAATCCTAGAATGGGTTTCTTCTTCATCATGGTATGAATCTACTGGACTGTTTTTGCGAGCCCACACAAGGCTTCACCACAAACAACGCTAATGTACCCTTGACAAATAACAAAAAGCCATTAGGAAACAGAACAGGTTGTTTCAAGGATATTACAATGGCCTGCGGCTTAATTTCTGCTGAAACAGAAAAGATCCCATGCCCGTCATATTTTAGGATGCTTCTTTCTACCAAATTCACTGTGTATAAGAACAGTAAACTGATTATAGGTTTTAAGATAGTGAGACTGCTGCTCTACTCAAACTGTTAGAACTTAAGATGCACACTGTAGCATCAATCTTACCTTTCTGTTTCAGATGCAGAGCCTTTCCTAGTCTGCTTCTGGGTGCTATATCTTTCCACTTTTCTGGAATGCCTGGAAAATGAGATGCCAAAAGAAAAAAAAATGAAAAAAAAAAGAAATAAAAGCAAAACAATCCAGAAAATATACCACAGATTTCAAGCAAAATGTCTGGGAAATGGAGAGTGAAAATCAGGTTATGTGAACAGCTAGTGAATATGGGCATTGGTTAAATCCCACTGCCCCATGCATGGCACTGAAGGCTTCGCTGAAGACAGAAACAAAATGACAATTGACTCAGTCTTTGTCGGCTGTTTCAAATTCAGTCATTGCTGAACAACAAGGAATTCTAGAATATCTTCTTTAGAAGAATATATTTAATTCCTGATTGAAGGTAATGGCGAACAATAAGGATGTGAAGAAAAATGAAGTAAACTCTGGATTAAACTAGGAAAGACTGCTTTTCTATCACAGTTCAAGTAACATAAGAAGCAAATAACACAACTCAAATATAATTGATCATACAATACTTGTTTCATTGATTTGCCTCCAGACAGCTCAGTGGTTTAGGTATCTGGCTGCGGAGCCAAAAGGTAGGAATTTGATGCCCCACTGGGCCTCCCTGAGAGGGGCTGGAGTCAATGATCCATAGGGTCCCTTCCACCCCTGCAGTTCTAAGATTCTGGGATATCAATGTGGCAGACCTCCCCACATTTTATACAAGATAATAAGACCATGAATTTCTCACTTGGACACAGGTGGTTTTTAATCTGAATTCATGAGGGCTAGGGCCTAGACTTATTGCTATTTAGACTGAGTGCTTAAATGTCCTAGAGACTCACACACTGAAAAAGAATATACCCTAGAGCATGTATGTACAACTTAGAGCAGTTGGGTCTACAATGTATTTTGGCTGTAGTCCACAAAGTCAAAAATATTAGCCACTGCTGTTTTTGTTATCTTGAGATGCTTTTTATGATTGGAGGGGGTCAATTACACCAGCTAACAAAGATGCTATTTTGCCACAGAATAGGCTTTATATCACACATGAATTAATATGGCTTCTGCATTGTCAGAATTCACAAAGGAATGGTGTTGCTTAGACAGTGGAGGGTCGGTTTTCATGGATTTTGCAAAGATGAATCCAAGGTCATGAAAGCACCTGATGGTTTAGGAAAAGGGTACAATTATGGCAATTGGCAGCCTCTTTGCAGATGTTTTGGAGAGGCATAAATAATTTCTGGGTTGCACAATATGGGACACTGAAAGCCCAGCCTCATGCCATTTGTCTTTGCTATTCAAATGGCTATATGGAAGTGACTGAGGAGTGGTGAGGTCCAAATATTCGAAAGATGTATCCACCACCCAGCTGTGATCTTGCTATGTACAGCGGCAATTACTTATTTTATACAAAATTACTTGTAGCCAAGCAGACTGCATGAATCAAATTCTAAATTGAAGAATGTTTGCTGGAAGATTTTTCACTGGACACCTGGCATCCCAGACAATCTACAAAGAATCCTCTAGCTTTAATTGGCACAAGATTTTGTGGAGCTGCATCTGAAAAAACTGGGGCTTCAGTCCACAAAAGATTATGTCAAATAAAATATTTTAGCCTTGATGGTGCTACAAGAGTCATTGGTCAGAATCCTGTTGGTTGTTTACACTTGCATAAGTCCACTGGTGTAAAGTGCAGTAGAGAACTGGTTGCTAGTTAATAAGTTGCCACTTGAATTCCTCAAGGCATGCCAGTGACATGAGTAGTTGCATGACAAGGGATATGAGTGGCAACTTGTTGAATGCACCTGCACTGCTAATTTAACTAACCAATAGGATTCTGGTCTCCTTCTTTCCTTCTGCAACACTATAGCACAGCTACCCCTGTGTGCTACTTTATCACAATTCCAAAATGAGGACTGATGAGAACAAATTAGGTGAGTCCAAGCTATGCTCATCTCAACCCACTTAGGTTCAAGTCAAAGCACAGATCGGCAACAAACCACTAGCCCTGAGGAAAAAGAAAGCCTGTAATACTCTTAGATAAAGAAACAAACACCGACTATTTTATGTTCATCCGAACATCTGGAGATTTGAGACAGATTATAAGAACTCAACAGAGAAATAAAGTATATTAATATTAACACCATTGATACACGGTATTCTTATCTTCCTCACAGGATTCATAATGTCTTTTCCAAGGGACTTATTATGCCATGCTCTTTATAGGTCAGTACCTCAAAGTTCATAATCATGATCTCATGGAGCTCCACTATTGGGAGTGGCCACACCCTTCTTGTACTAGCTTGACCAAGATGCTCAGCTCCTCAGAAAAGACATTTTGATTAACCAATAATGGCTCCTTGTCTGTCATTTCACATACATTTTGTTCTACATTGTTCTAGGCTGCTTCATTTACTCTTGGTTTGATACAATTCCTGAGGCCTTAGTTTACCAAAGCCTGCTGCATAACCCAATGATGTGAAGCCATCCTCAAAACATGTATTGATATTTATGTGTCAGATTAGCTTGTATACACTTTGTACTGCTCTCTGGAAAATCTGATGTAGTTTTTCTAGCACCAGCTTTAAGGCGTCTTGTGCGACACAGATTTTCCAAGGTAGCAACACAAACACTGTGGTTTTAAGCACCACATACTAGTCATTCTAATTAAACTAGAAAAAAAATACTTCTCCTACATGAATTTAATCATGTTCTCTACACTCAACAGCAGATGCTCAAATCCCAGATGTCCTGCTGTCAGAAGTAAAGTTCAAGTAAAAATGTACTTTTATGGGGTTAATTTAATGAGAAGCTAAAATACATTAATATACAGTACATGTAACATTATAAAAGGGGGCAATGTATAATACCAAATAAGAGTGATGTGACACAAAACTAGGAAATAATAGTTTATAAACACTACTTTATGCACTTGAAATTTTGAGATAACTTAGCATGGATACCTCTGCATTTCTTCTGGATTAGCAGTTAGGAAGTTTAAAGTGTCTTGTTTTGGAATGCAAGACTCCAGCGGTGTTGTTGTTCTTCACACATTTTGGAAACATGGAAGTAAACGTTCAACAAAATGGACGGAAACAGATAGAAACAGAGAGATGGTCACATGCAGTGAAGATGGAAGCATGCAATCAAGATATTTTGTATGATGCAAGAACATTCCAGTATTACATCTAAAAAACATTTCTGGTCTCTCCTTTTCTATGTTTAAGAAAGAGGAGGTTTTTAAAGTGACGTAACAGCAAGACAAAACATTCATAAAAGGCTTGAGACAGAAATACAGTCTACATATTCCTGCAACCTCCACCCCCACTTGTGGTGTGCCCTCCCCTGAAAGGTCTAACTGGCACCTACTCAAATGTCTTTTCTTTCACTAGGCAAATATCTTTCTGTTTTCATAGTTTTCAAAAACTTTTTATATTTGTGTTGTCTTGGCATTTTCAGAGTAGTTTTAATTCTGTGAACATTTATTTCTTGTGTGGCTTATTTCTGAGTGGAGGAGTCTACTGTTAAATCTGTTTGATTCTGGCCATTTTTTTCTTTTTTGCCCAGTTCTTGGTAAATAGAGGAAACACTGCTTCCCTTATTTTCGTCTCTCAAATGTGCCCTCTCCCAATCTAAGATAAATGTAGACATTCTCTTAACCTTTCCTGAAATGATTTGCCACCTGGATAAATTATGAAGAGATGGGGGTATTCGTATATGAGGGCTGGACAGTCCACTCACCGATTCATTGCAGACATGAACGGTGCAATTCTACGAATGGCTCTGCAGCGTGCAATCCACTCGCTACTCCTGTCAGGAGGCGGGAGGACATGCCTCGTTGAAGGTCGAAGAGTGGCGAGTGGACTGCGCGCTGCGGCGCCATTCATAGAATTGCACCATCCATCTCCGCATCGGATCAGTGAGTGATCATTAACACCACCTGTGTGGGGATATTCGTATTTGTATACGAATACAAATACCCCCATCTCTAATTATGGACAATTTCAAAATGTAGATCATTTTCCTCTTAATTTTGTTTAAACGTGCATTTACTTATCTTGTTAAAATAGAATTATTTCAAATATAATCCCTGATAATGTAAAAAATGAAATGAGTGGGAATGCTCTCAGGGTTTGGGACATATTAAACAGGAATAGGCATAGAAATGCAAAATATTTAAGTCCTATTCTGGCATCAAATCTGCTTGTCGAGGAAATACATGTCATTTCTATCATATTCTAGGTATGGAAGGTGGTCAGGTGACTATGAAGCGGATAGCCTCCCATATCTTTGGAGACCCTCCGCATTAATTGGAGCCATGAATATTCCAAGACATGAAGGACCTCTATGAATAGCAGTATTCATTCAACCTTTTGAGGGATGACAGTAGAAACGGTGGAGAAAGAAGTCTTCTTCCTCATATGTTTGCATAGTTAACATCTCAATAGAGTTCTAGTTCAATTGCACTTACAATTCAGCACTTCAGTTAACAAATAGATAGCACAGGGCCCTGAGCTATCTACTTGTTAACTGAAGAGAAAGCTTTCTCTTTCTCTCTCTCTTTTTGCTTTCTCAACACGTCAGATAATTCTCAAATTTTGAGAAGAAGTGTATTCAATTATGCAATAGCCTCTTTGAAAATTAGGTGGAAGTACATATATTACATAGGCCCATTTTTCATACCGTGTTACACTATCCTATGGTTTTAAGGGAATACGAATAGATTGCCTGATTAGCACGTTTTTAGTTTTTAAAAAGTCAGATATAGTAAAGCTTTCATATGACGTAGAAGAAAGTAGCTATAACAAAAAAAAAAATGACACTAAGATTTCAAATAAGAAAATTGTAACACAACAATGAAAATCCAGTGAAGAACATTGACATTTATCACATTTGGCCAATCAGCATATAAAGAGAAATCCAAAGCACTGGGTTGCAAACTCTAACTGGCAGAGAATGCCTGGGCCTAGGATTTTTAGTTAAGAAAAGAAAAAATGTCCAGTTACACAAAACAAGTCACGCTGGCATGCACTGAACGGTGTTTCTTTAACTGTTTTCCATGCGGGAGGCCCACTCATTTGAATGATCAACACTTGCTTAACTCTCCCACACTGTGGCTTCTAGTAGGTGCCCTGCAAAAAAAGAGACTGAATTCCACATATTGCATGCAATCCTGGACATGTTTACACAACAGCAAACCCTGCTGCACTTTGATGGCACTTGCTCCCTAATACAGTACATGTGTTGTGGATTGCAACCTTAATGTATTATAAAGTACCAAATTAAAACTGGGATCAATGTAGCAATCCATTTGCTATTTAGCAGGGGAGCCATTGTGTTGTACATTCTTTGCTATTGTGAAGAATTAGAAATGCTTTGCAACAGTATTAGAACCAAAACAACTCCTTATCTGTCGATCAGCTTTTTAGAATGGTGTAATTTTACTAGTTCTAATTGGGTAGAGTTTCTGGTTCTTTTATCATTCTTCTCCCTCATTTCCTACATATATGACATCTCCACCATTGCCAAAAGCCCCCAACGTGGCATTGTAGCTGGCCTTTATAGTCTTGGATTTGTGAGTGGCTGCAGAGGGAGGCTATATCTATATAAATCTTGAATGTACCCCCTAATCATTTATTTTCAAGGCCACCCACTGTGGTTGACTGGACTGTTAAAAAGCTAGGTAGCAGATTTCCCCCCAGCATTTGACTGCAGTCATCAATGATGCTTTATAACACAATGGAATTCAGGTGTGACATGTAATGTAGTACCCTGACCTGTATTCTTGGAAACTATCTTGAATACATGTCTTTCAAAACTTCTCTGCAAGATTCATCAAATCACTTTCCAGTTAGGAGGAGCTAGCTAGTACCTGTCATCCTCCGGAGACGCATGTTGGATATGAATCCGGGGACTAGTGGGTCGGCTCCTATCTAGTGAGGGAGACCATCTACCTCTGTTTGTTCAGCCAATAAAATAGGAAGAAAACACAACATTTAGAGTATGATTTTCTTTTCTTTCTTTTTTTTTTAAAAAGGTTTTTTTTTGCAAGAAACTGGAAAGTTCCACAAATAGTAAGTGATCATTGTTACTATTGTTTTTTTTAAAAAAATGTTTACAATTATTTAACTTAAATTTGGACTACATTTTCAGACATTTTTGCACAGCAACATGCATATTTGAATACTAGAGTGGTTTGGGTTCTCTCTTTCTCTTTAACCCAGCAGCCAAGTTAATTTGGTTTAAATTTGAAATAACAATCTCTTTTATTCAAATAAATATGTGGCTTGTATTTCCAATTAACTGAATAACTTTGAATGACATCTTGAAGTCAGTGGAATTTAAGCATCATGTTACACTGCTAAGTACAGAACTCACAGGCTCCTAGTTTTCCTTCCCCAGAGCTTATGGTTATGGTATACCCGGGGGGGGGGGGCTGTTTTTAGGAAAGGAAAAGAAAGGGAAGAAGAAGAGTGTGAGAACAAAAGAATGGAAGAAAACAAATAGTTTTTGTACAGTGTTTGAAACTGTTCCTCTAGGGCACAGATAGGGAAAGTGCAAGCCTCTAGTTGCTGTTATACTGCAATTCTCATCAATCCTAAACCAGAAATAACCAATGGTGAAGAATGCTGGGAATTGCAGTTCAACAACACCTGGATAACCACAGTTTGCCTGTCCTCAAAGGAGTCCATCTTATCCAATATGACTGGCAACAACTATCCAGCATTTTAGAAGAGGTCTTTCCCAGTTGCATCCAATCTTTGAAAGGAATATGTGAGGCAAAATTATCCCCAGAACATGGGAAAGTGACTTGTTTGGATTACAGCTTACAAAATTCATCTTCCTGTACAATTTATTTATTTATTTATTTATTTGATTTGATTTATATCCCACCCATCTGGTATATCATACCACTCTGATTATCCAGGGGTTATCTGCTCTTCCTCCCTGGTCATTCACAATATTACCAGCATTTACTATTTTTCCCAACTTCCAGAAATCCTCTCCATTTTTATCAAAGTGCTATCCATAGCTGCCAGTATTCTCTCAGTTTAGCTAGCTACATGGGACATCTTCTGGTATCTTCACACTGTGTGGACCGCTTAATGTATTATTATTCCATTATTGTTGTTGAATGAACTTGGCTATCTGCGGCATACATAATTACTTATTTTTCTTTGTTGTGAGCTTTTGCAAAACAAAGAAAAACATAGATATTTAAAGAGGTGGAACTGGGAATGGGAAGGTCTTTAACTCTCCTTCCCTTAGCAATGTTGATAAGCGCAATTCTTTAAAAATATTCAAGGGTTTATTGTACCTCTTGGAGTACCTACATGGATAAACAGAGCAACCTAGAAGGGCTGTAGGGACACATCTTTCGCAGAAAAGAATTAGGTGACAGGAGCATGAAGCTGGATGGAGAAACTAAGAAGCTGCTATTATGTAGGTTGTTGAGATGCTTATTTCTCTGCTCCGGTTCAGACAATCATCACAGCTATGGCAACTGCATTTGTGGGCTCGCAGTTCATCCTGAGTCATACCAATTGTACTTTACAAGAGGACAATTACCATGGCCTGGAGGGCATAAAAAGAGGAGCCTCTTGAGTTTAACTTGACCACCATCATAAACTGTGTAATGCCCAACCTGATTTAGGGTCTGAAGGCCTCAAAAAGTTAACTGTGTGTGATAGTTTAGTGGTCCAATAAAGTCAATACTCAACTCTAGATTTTCCTCATGGACCACATGTGTATCTTCTTTTCCTACAGGACGTTGTTGCTCCAGTCTTTGCCATTAGGGACTAAACCCCATTGAACATCAAAAACAAGTGAACTACAAATCCAGAACTACTTAATATATATGTATATAAAACGAAAAGTGTTATTACGGAAGGAAAACACATGTTCTGCTTGCAGTGTAACATTTTATGCAAAGTATTCACAATGTTTGTTGCTCTTCTTGAAAAACCTTCCAGTTCAAGGATAAAAGCACACTTACAAAAAAAAACGGGTAAGAAAAAATTAATTCAGAGAAAATTAGCATTGCAGCATTATTAGTAAAGCTATTATTCTCTAAGCCAAATCCTAAAGGAAAGTATATAAGCACCAGTGCACTCAAAGCCCTTAATATGCTGATATTCTGTATAAACATTGGAAAACAATATGAAAAGAATGTAATTAACAGCAAACATGCATTATAACATTTGAAAACATGATCTCACACAACATGTTTTAATGGTGAGAAACATACTATAAAATGTGGAACAGCATGCAAAAGAGTAGTTTTCCAAGTTAAATGAAAAACCTAACAAAAAATAAGAATACATAGCAAGCAAGCAAAATAAGTTTATTACGTGTCACACAGGGTTAAGAATACGTAGCACTGTGCATTGCTAGCAGATGCACCATACGTAGCACTGTGCATTGCTAGCAGATGAACCTACCACACTCCTAGAAAAGTGAATTCATGGAAGACCTCACATTTAGATATCTCATGCAGTGTATACAAAGAAACTAACAGATAAATTGGAAAATTGTACAGGTGTTCAGCAGTTATACAGAGGAAATGACAGTTCATAACTTCACATGTTTTACAAAGTGTCAAAATATTGGCTGCATGGTTGCACAGAGGGGAGCTATCAGGATTTAGGGTTTACTTCCTCTGGCATAGTATACTTTCCAAGTGTATATACTGAGACACACCACTATCTAGTCATTGCGATTGCAAATTTATAGACAAGCAGGATGAAAAAGAAGCTGGAAGGCCAATTATTCAGAATTGATAACTTCCCAATTTACTAACAGGTGGTATTTATTTATTTATTTATTTGATTTACTGAAGCCATGTGATCATGTCTGGGAATGAAGGACATAACAGATATATCATCAAGATAATGAAACAACAAAGTTCATTAATATATCACATTTTAATAGCCTGAACCTAAACATGCAACATTAACATGTAATGTTCATATTACAAATATATTTAACTTGCAACTACACAGATATGTGGCTAATCATTAAAGGTAATTCATTATTTCTTGTTCTGCTCTCTGATTTTCAGTTCTGTTTTTCTGGAGAAGTGGACTGGGGGAAACTCATCTAAAAAGGTTTCTAAATCATCTAAAGTTTAACTGGAGAACACCTCCAAATATAGGACTAAATGTGATGAAAAAGGTAATGACACCAGAAAACTATGCAAGAAAGGGAAAAAACAGATCTTGTCGTTGGCCAAACTTCTATAAGCAAAAACTTTACACATAAGGATAATTACGCAGCAGATTTTCCTTCACTGCTTCCTGTCCACTGTATGCTCAATTGCTTCCTTACCCAGAGGAAGCTGAGGACCATGACATCCATCCAGCACTAAACGTAGTCTTGCTTGTGTGGTTTCCTAATTATGTTATACAGAACCAACAGGATTCTGGCCATTATGTTACTTGCAAGAAGGAAGACATTATATCCTCATAACCATGAAATAACGTGTTGCATATGAGATGTTACTTTCAAGCGCTGACCCAGAAGAACCCATTAGCCAAAATCCTCTTTCTTGTGCAGCTACGCAATTAGTGTAAGACCATAAGAAATGACCACAGACATTATCAGTTGCATGCAGAGTCCCACAACTCACTATACAACAGATTATGCCTACAGTAATTTCTGAATTTATAGTAATTTACATTATTTGTGTTATGTAAGTATAATCAGGCAAGAGGATTGGGCCACTGTTTGCAATTTTACCTCAGAAAAATTGGTAGTTCACTTACTGATACTAACACTTCAGATGCTATTAAATATACATAAAGTTAATGACGGAAGTGTTGAACAGTAAGCAATCTTGCTACAGGTGACAATAATTTGTAGAGATTCACCACTTCCCAAATAAATTCTTTGACAATTCATGACGTAAACTGAAGTTTCTGCAGATATGCAGAATGGCCTTCTATCCAAGTCTAGGATATACTATTGCAATTAATATTAAAAGTTAAAGCAAAATAAAAAAAGTTTGCATTAATACATTCAGAATGGGAATTCACAGTTATATTTTTAAACTGCTGTTTTTATGCATGTTTCTGTTTATGCAAACAGGATTTCATTTGCATTGAGCACTGAAGTTTGGGAATAAAAACATTTAAGGCTTGTCAGGAACTAAAAAGATAAAGAAAATAGAAGATTAGGAGCAGGCCCTATGGGAAGCATGCATATATAGGTCCTTTGGGTTGGAAAAGCTTCTCTTATGAAGTTTTCATAGTTCTCTGTTCCCAAGAATTTCTGCTGGTCTTTCTGGGCTTGTCGACAATTCCCACAAGCCAAAAGAAAAAAAAAAGTGAGAGGGAACGTCAAAGTAAACGTTACAGAGAATGCACACTTCTTCCAACTAGTTTGTTTTTCTTTCCCACAATAAGATTTCTTCAGCAATAAATCCCTGTTCCCCTGCCAATAATCAATCATAAAATGGAGCATGCCAAATGTAGTAAAAATTGGTAAGGAAAAATCATATGGTATAACCAAAAGGCATCTTCCACCACTTGGAGCAGTATTTCTGCATAAAATGTGATGCATATTTATTATCTAGTTTCTCTTTCTCTCTTCGTGAAGGCAGTATGATAATTTAAGAGTACAAGCCAATGAGCATCTGTAAAAAAAAAACTAGCCTGTCATTTTGTTATAATAAATTTGTCCACCACTAACTCAGGATTTGATGGTCTTTCTCCTAACAAAGTGGGGAACTAAAAAGCCATTTTAAGCACCTATGCTTCACATTCAGCGAGGGTCAGAGGATTTGGACCCTTAATGAAATGGGCACTCCAGCTATGGAACAATGTGTGACAGGCACTGCCAATAAAATATCTTCACCTTTCCTCAACATTTTCATTCGCTGAGGCATTCTGCCTCATGGACCTGATCTGTGTGCTTATTATGTTTGTTCTCTTGCTTGAATATATTACAATAGTGCTGTTATTTTTCCTGTATTTGTATGACAAATTTTTATTCTCATTTCTATACATCCTGATATCTACAAGAACGAAAGGTGGTTTCAAAATATTATATATTGGCTTCCTATTTTATTTTTAGAAACTGGAAATTGGCCTTTTCCCTCCACGTTGTAACCTTTCAGCTGCAAATCCTCCTGTTGAAGTTTTTCTTTCCCACAGAATTAATATACTGCCATCTGGCTCTCCATGCCAATTGTAGCAGCAGCAGCAGCAAAACATTGATTTATTCATTCTTTGTTTGCAGTAAAAGCATTGGTTCAGCATGTTCAGCCAAATACTGACTGCCATCTGCACTGATCTACTGCCATATAGGGTAATAGATGGAGGCCTTTACCATGATGCCCTTAACGGGAAGACAAGGCTCACTGCCAGTGCCATAATTCCATATGAGAATACAATAACACAACTTTGCTAAATTTAAACTAGTGTGCATAAGCATAGCCACCTACAGACCAAAAGTATATGATTTATATTGCTAATCCTTTAAGGCTAAAACTATAGAAAAAGGATTGATCCATTATATTAGCTGATGCAACCTGTCGAATATCAAGCTAAAAAACTATAAATATGTTTGAAGAATCAGCGCTGCTTCCAAGATATATTACAGGCCTATAAACTGCTACTTGTCAGCTCCTGCAATTCTGCACAACAGGCAAGATGAACTGCTTTGAGCTGTACAAAATGCATCCTGAAAGAAACCCTGCAGCATAATTTCACTGCCTAAAAGATGTTTATATGTACAGTCTCCGTAAAGGTGACATATCATTGAATATGATAATTCTCTTCTTTATGATCCATCCAGGAGTTCACAGAGAATGCAGCATGCTTGGCAAATAACAATGCCCTCGTTCAACTACTTACCCAGGTGACAAAATGTATCATCCTGAGTAATTCCATGCAGCATAATACCATCCATACCTATACAAAGAATTCATGGCATATTATGAGAACTGTAGTCTCGCCACCAAACGAAAACAAAAATAAAAAACCCAACCATTTTTTCATGTCGTTTTTGTTTTGTTTTGATGTATTTGGTGCAGAGAAGATCTTCCTGTATCTGCATGTACAGCCTTCTGTGCAGGTTGCCTGTGTCTTGGTATGTGACGTCTGTGGTAGGGTGATGATGATGATGATGTGTGCCTGCTCTTTCTTCAGGTAGAGTGCCATACTTGGGTTCAGGTCCGAATTGTGTTTATGAATTTGTTGCTGTTGTTTAGTCGTTTAGTCGTGTCCGACTCTTCGTGACCCCATGGACCAGAACACGCCAGGCCCTCCTGCCTTCCACTGCCTCCCGGAGCTGGGTCAAATTCATGTTGGCCGCTTACTTGCAGTCAAATTGTAACAAGAATAGTGAGGGTACCCACACTTTAGGGACCAAGTGAAGCAAGCAACCAACCATCTTCTGCCTCTGATTCCACTAGAGACATGTGAGGATTAGAACTGATCATGTTAATAAGACGATGCTTGCCCATTAAGAAGTACAGGTGGTCTATTTTTCCACATGCCACAAGTATTGCCAGGTGAATGGATAATACACTCAGTAGTATGAGGCTTCGTAAGGATACTCTGAAAGGTTGTTGTGGGTTTTTCGGTCTCTTTGGCCGTGTTCTGAAGGTCGTTCTTCCTAACGTTTCGCCGGTCTCTGTGACCAGCAGCTTCCTATGTTCCTACTTCTCCCTGTGCATCCACTGGGACTACCTGATTCACTGTCCTTGGTTCATTTGAGTCTCATACGAAGTTCTTCCATGGTTAAACTTGGGCAAACGTAGAAGCAGCGTGCATGGTGAACTTCAACCATAGTAATCAAAGGGCTGACGCATCAGAACACCTTCTTATATGCTGTGCCTCAGCTCACACTGAATCACTGCAACAACAGCATCTTAAGATTATTTCTGATTTCCTTTTATAGTAATATAAAATAAAAAGTTATCTTCCTTCCTCTTCATGCGCTCTGTTTTTTTTTCCACAGGAAAAGTTAACAGTGAGCTTCAAGAGTGTGACAAAGAGAGGCTAAAAGCTGAACAAAGGGCCAGGCATTCTTATTTTCTATCTGAGAGAAACCTTTGGTTTTGTTCCTCAACCCTACTCCCAAGAAGGTTAGTAAGATGTGAAAATCAGGGCAAAGAGTGCTACTTCTTCCCGGACTCAAGTTCCACAACTCTACTGATACGGAATGTGAGAAAAATAAATGTTTCTGAAAGAGGGTTCTTTAACATGACTTCATACAACTAAGAACTATATTGGGAAAAGAGGGAGAATGTTCTTGGGTCGCAGTGCAAACCGTAAACCACTATATTTTATCAGCTATGATTCATGCCAACCATGGGTTGACAAAGGCAGTTTTATTAAGAAGATGACTTCCGAACCACTTTTTGCAGTGACTGCATGAAATAAAGTGAGGATCTCAGTTTGAAGCTGGGTAACTTCTTGTCGCTATTCTGTTACTAACTTGGTTTTCAATATCAGTTGTATTCTTGCCAATGGTGCTAGTAGGTACCAGTATTATGAAACAGATCTTCAAAGAGCAAACAATATTTGAGCTCCATTGCCTTTAATGGAACTGTACAAGAATAATCCTTGTTTGTGACAACAGTTCACTTCCTTTCTTCTTCTCTCAAAAAATCTAAGTTTTAGGGTATTGCTTTGTTTTTGCTTTTTATGTTCTGCTTGTTCTAATCTAAGGATACCAAAAATTTGTTCTAGTTCTACCCCAAAAGGAAGGAGCCCAAAATAGCCAACAACAGGGATAAATCAGAAACAAGTACTTCCTAAAGTAGACTACTGAAGTGAATAAGACTGATTAGTCACACTATTTTAAATGCCATTGATTTCAATGGGACTACTCTAGGTAGTTTAACAGGCAAATTTTAGGCAGTTTATAAGACTGAGTTTCATCAGAAGAATCAAATCATGTCTTTTCAGAATACGCTCTAGATACAAGCTTACTGGCCTACATTTTGACACACTAAGAATTTGACCCATTTATCTTGTAAATGCAAGAAGTCCACAATAATGTCTCAAATTTTTAGTGAAAATGCTGTCAATGTTGAACATTTCAAAAAAAAAAATATTCAAAAACACAGTCACGCCTAAATATAAGCCTGCTGAAATGTTTCAGTACCAAAAATTCAAAGTATTCATTTATTTTATTTATTCATATATTTAATTTACACTCCCACTTTTCTCCCTCGTGGGACTCAAGGCAGCTTACAAATATGTTTAAAAGCAGGCACAACCAATTACAAGATTAAAACAGCATCTGAAAATTGATTTATTCAGAGGCCTGAATTTAAATGTGAGACCTATTTTTTTTTAAAATTGTTGAGAAACGTAATAAAAAACAATAACCCTGAATGAACAGTGTCTCATTCTACTAGCTATGGCTTCACTCGCGTAGCCAGAATTGGGAAACCAGACTTGTGTCAATCAGCCAGCCGATATAAAAATCAGCCAATAGCTGCCCAGAGTGGTAGAATATACCAGATGGGCGGGATATAAATCGAACAAATAAACAAATAAATTAAATAAGTAAATAAATAAATATCTGACCAGGGAGAGCCAAACCTTTTTTAAAAAGAAGGTTTTCTCAATAGGTAGGAACTAGAAAGAAAGCATTATTTGTAGTTATCATGAATTATTGTTGTTTATGGATACTGACAATCAAGTGAAAACCACAGAGTCTTCTGCCATCTTAACAACAAAGAAGTTTATAGTGACAAGTTTTCCTAGGCTAGAAAGCCCACTTTGTTAGATGGAGCAACAACAAAAATGAAGCTCAGTAAAACTATCTCAATTAACATTGAAAAGTTGTTATCAGCATACTGAGGACTTTTTCAAACAATGGCTTAGGCTTGAGGGAGGAAGGAAGGGAGGGAGGCAGAGGAAGGGGAACGGAAGAAGGAGCAAGCGAGCGAGCGAGCGAGCAAGCGCATGGAGCAAGAGAACTGAAGAAGCCAGAAGCTGCTGTGAGCAACACCAACCTATGGTTAACGTGACACTTATGGATATACAACCAAAAATGTCCACAAATATCAAAGCAGAACATGAATAATAACAAGTGCATATGAAGATAAGACTGATATGGCAAAACTAACAAACTGGTACAGACTACCGGCACAGATGGCAAGAAATAGAGAATTCTTTATTTTATACCTTTCTTGTTCTGGTGAATGCAAACTAGTATCAGGCCTCAAGCAGTTGGTACTAGCACTCCTAGCCCTGTCAAGTGAGGGCTGCAGTTCACTAGTGCCAGTGCATTGCATCCAATGGAAGAAGAAGAGGAGGAGGAGGAGGAGGAGGAAAAACAAAAAGAAACAAAGAAAGGAGTACAATGTTAGATATTAAATCATAAAGTAATGTTCTCTTTACATAAGATGTCAAGTCACAATGGTCTAATAAAGATATAATGGAACTGGCAGAATGAATGTTGAGACTTGTAACAAAAAAATAATAAATTAAAAGCAAATGTTTGATTTGGGCTGCATAAATTTACCACAGATCCCTAAAGCTGCAATCTAGATCCCAGAAAGTCAATTCAGTTGGCTGTCTTAGGCAAGATTGCAACTCAGCCATGGAAAATGGGACTGGCCGATATCAACTTATGAAAAAAGAAAGAAGGAAATGCTTAAACAATATATTATAACTTTATTTCTTCTCAGAAATACCACAACACAGGGTGATGGAATACTGTTGGTTTGGGATAAAATATATTTTACAGTGAAGCAGATGCATTACACTAAAATGATAGGAAAGGATACTTCTAATTGAAACCTTACCTAACCAACAGTCCATCTGTAAACCTCGGTACTCGTGAATTAAGGCAATTATGAAGAAGTGAAATATCCTGACTAAGCACAGATTTGGCCTTAACATATGCAGGCAGGGTTGAGCTTCATGTAGCAAAACGATTTATGAAAAAGAAAGAAATGTAAGTTTCACATATAAAACACACAGGTGGAAAAAAAACACAAAGAAATAAAATTTGATAAAAATTAAACCATAATGCTGGAAACATTACTGTGGGTTTAGACAACAGGCATTCTGGGCATAAGGTTGCAGTCCTATATGTATTTATTAAAGGTTTACGACTTAATATACATGTTTACGAGGACAGCATCAGGTGGCTTTTATTTCTGAGATGACTACTGAATGTTTCTCTTATACAGTATTGGAAATTATTTTCTGGGAATGATTAGATGTAATTAGCTGTATTATGGTGTTGTACCTAGCAGAAATTTACTTTGTTACCTAATAAGCAATGGTAGCCTGTGCTCCAAACTAGGGTGTATGTGTTCTTGCTCCATAGTGACAAGGTAACTCCTCCCATAAACTGCTTTAGTCCCAGATACTAGTACTAAAACAAGAAGCAATTATCCCAGAGTTAGTGGGCAGCTGGGTTTATTGCCCAGCAGAAGGGCTAAGAGGCATGGCTGCCTCCATTTTGTGTGGCCAGGAGTTTCCCTCCCATAGGCTAATCTGGTTTTCATAGGCTTTTTCCCAATCAGAGGGGCCAGGGGCAGGTCTGTCTCCACAAGTGGACCTGAGGGAAGAGGTTCAGTTTGTCTGTGGGATATATCACGAACACACCTGGCTTGGAATACCCATTCTGCTTTGGACCTTCTCTCATTCTTCCTTGGTTTCTGTCGGTTTGAGTAAATGTATTTGTTGGGCAGTGGATTTTTCTTTTCTCTTTGTCATATCTTTGTGTTTGTGGGCATGGCATATCTAACCAAAGGGGGGTAGGGTTCAGTAGGGGATTTCCCTTTGGGGAGGAGCAGGAAGGACAGCCATTGCATTGGCCCAGCTTGGGGGGTTGTGCACTTTTTGCTCCACAGTGACAGGCAGTGCCACACAGTGGCAAATGCCCACATGGTTAATCCTGGTTCCAATCACTTTGGTTCACCATTAGCTAGCAGCCAGGTCATCTGACACAGATCCATTCTCTACCAGTGGTGTCCAACCTTGGCCTTCCAGATGTTCTTGGACTCCAACTCCCAGAAATCCTGGCCAGGAGAGGTGGTGGTGAAGGCTTCTGGGGGTTGTAGTCCAAGAACATCTGGAGGGCCAATGTTGGACACCAGTGCTGACTATTGGCAGCTGTAACCAATAAATGCATGACCTGTTTTCTTCCAATAATGTTGTGTACACGTGGTTCTTTCCATGTTTGTGGCCCCACTGTTATAGACCTCAGATGAGAAACTATATGTAAAAGTTGACTGATACTTTTTGAAAGTGTGGTTTCCATTGTCTTGCTGTTCTGGAATGGATTTTTAAATGTATCTAAGACGTTTAGCATAGCATGACAGATTTCTTACCTGTAAATATTCCAATAACTGCCATTCTCAAATAAAGGCATCTTGGGTGGTAGTGTTTTATAGTGCCTAATAGAATTTCTTGAATGTAGCAGAAATGAAAAGTGGCATGGTGTGGAGGAAGGTCCATGCAAGAAACAAAAATATACAAATGCAGATAAAGCAGTGATAAAAAGATGAAGTTATGATAAAGCAGTTTTTTAAAATAGCTTTTGCTGTGCAGGTAGAATTACTGATAAAGAAAATAAAGGATCCAAGTAGTAATGTTATAATTTTAAGAATCCACAGAAGATGTGCTGAAACATATAGAGACTGAAAAGCAGCACTCCAAAATCAGTGATCCTATAACTTCTACAGTAGTTTCTATGGACGGAAAAGAGCAGATACGGATTAAATGGTTTTCAATGCATTCCTATGGGAAATGCAGATTCAACATAAGAACTTTTCAACTTGAGAACCACCTTCCAATACAGATTAAGTTCTTAAGTAGAGACCCCACTGTACTAGAAAGGTGTTGTTTTTTTAACATCACTGCCAGAATGTTCTTGCCCTGGTATAATTCCAAAGTTAGGAAGGTATATTGAAAAGGTTTCACTTTTGCTTTTTATTCTTCAAAATATAGCTTATCAAAAGTAGTGACAAATATACCTCATATTAATCTGAGAACAATTCCAAAAGATGTGTTATCAAATGTGAGGATGACATCATTATATTTTGGAGAAAAAACAAAAATAATAAATAGTTGGAAAGACTTTTCAATATACCCTCGTAACTTCTAACAAATTGAACATGATTCAGTTTGTAGGCAGGCTCTGCCATTAAGGAAGGTGAGGCAGCAGCTTGGGGTAGGTGATTATCGGGGGGCGGGGGAGTAGAATTTTGTCACTTTAAACATTATCACCAAAGTTCCCTCTAAGCTGGGCGTGTGTATGCGTGTGTGCATTTCTGTCTCCCTGCATGCAGCTGCCTTCCTCCTCGACGCAGCGACTGTGTTAGGTTCCGGTTGTGATGGAACCCAGCGTGCGTGGGGTGGAGTCACACAAACATGCACGGCAAAGTTCATGCAAGAGAGAAGCAGAGCTCTGCGAGGCTGAAAATTAGAAAATATGTTGATTATCACTATTGTACTTTAGCACAAGGAGACACGCTAATGAGATGTTTCTGCTTTAGGCACTCTGTCCCATTTGTGGAAGTTTTATAAGATTAGTAAGGTTTTCTTTTTTTGAATATTAGATCCCTATGCTGAATCATAAACAGATTTTGAAAGTCCCATAAATTTCAAAAGCGGCTCGCAATTAAGGTGCTAATCAAGAAAAAGACTAAATTCCCCTTGAGTCTATGTCTTGAAACAATGGAATATATTATTGGAGAAACTTGTTGGAGAATATTTGATTATTATTTTTTCCAGTGGAGCTTGATGGGATGTGGAATTGGAGTTATCTATATTTCTGCCAAACCACTTTTCTACGTCCACTTTCTTTAAAAGAAATGTCACGCCCTCCGGTGGCTGGGAGCTCGGAGCATGCGTTAAAGCTCCACAAAGATTCTCAGCAGATGAGGGCATCTAATTTAGTACCTAAGATTTCCAGTGTGCATAACATACAGAACCAAAGATAAAAACACAAAAATTGAAAAGGAAAATAAATAAATAAATGTACGGAACATAAAATTAATGGTTCTGCCATACATCTGAAGGCTTTTTGTAACACTGCTTGAATGACTTATTTTAATCTTTCCACCACTACTGGCCAGTGCAAGAACATTGAACTCCTCTACAGCAGAATCCCTGCAATTCAGACCTTGTGGCACATATGAATATATGGAATAAATATACAAACCCACAGATCTGGATACACTAGGCTCACAATAACTCTGTCCAGAGATGGGGAAAAATTATTGTTTTGGGCTATAACTTCCAGAATACCCCAGCTTAGCACAAGCTGACCGGGCCATTCTGTGAACTGTACTCTTCAAAAATTAACTCTTCCCATCTCTAATTCTGTCCACTGATGCTAATATATAAACAGGCATGTAAAAATAAGCACCTAGACTCATAGCATTTCATGCGCAACACTGCATTTGTAGAATACAGGGCTTCTACAGGAGACTAGGGGAGAAATGGCTTGTAAAGTAATAAGAAAACAAACACACACACAGTACACCAAAACTATCCATAAGCAATTTTGGTTATCAAAGGCCTGTATTTACCTGGCGGTATGTAGGCACTCTGCACTTCTTCCTCGTTTTGCCCTGGGCAGCATAAGAAGCTCACTGCACAGACAGGATGGATGATGAATGAAACAGATATAAATATGAAGCATTAAATGGCATGAATTATGCCATGATGTGCAAATGAAAACATAAAAAATAAATAAACCAGAAAGGCTTTGAACTGAGATTGTTAACCCTGACAGGAGTCAGAGAAAGGCATGCTGCAACACCTCTTTTTAAAACGAGAGAGAGAGAGAGACAGGTACCTCTGCTGTTGCAGCAATCCTTCCGGGAGGCTGATCCCATCCTGTGGCCTCCAATACATCTTTAAGAAGAATTCCCCAAGCTCTGTTTTTTTAAGCAGTACAACGTTACACAGGACTGTGCAGCGTTTCATGAGAGTTTGCCAGATTTTTTTTTTTAAATTCACAACTGGCAGGTTTCTGTGTAATATTGCATTTTTTTTTAAAACAGGTATAACTGATATAGAGAAAGAAGGCAACAGGCTCATAGTATGGAAGCATAAACAAAGAGCATAGTTCTCTTTCCTAGTCCAAGTATAATGAGCGTTCAGACTGCTATCAATTTGATTCATCTTATACACATATATTGCTAGGAGCTTCTTCCCCCCCTCTATTTCTGGAGTTAACATCTATGTAAATTTTTAAGTCAAACATTTCTTTTAAAAATAAAAAAAACATTACATTAATAAGTCATCATACATTTTTAACATCCCTTTAATTCACATTTCAATGTTCTAGTCCAGACCCAGGTTTCTTAACTGGAATGAGGTATGTATTACACAGGAAACAGAGACAGCAACGAAGAAAACAGCTTCTGTGTGTATCATGAGTCTTACTGATACTTTTAATTTCAAGATTGGATATACACACATGTCCTCTATTAAGCCAAACAACAAAAGCCTGTATCTAGTGATACAATTTCACTAGGCCATTATCTGTTGCAACAGTGAATATGCATTGACAGTTTGTGCAAATTTCTGTTGCACGAGTGGTTATGCAATTTGGAACACAAGGTTGCAGTATTGTTTGCAGTACATTTGTGCAAAGATGCAGTGCTACACTAGAAGGGGTTTTCGCTCCATTAGTGTTACATTGGATTTAAGCCAAAGATAAATTTCCAAGGTCACTAGAGTAAGGTTAGTAAAGGGATTTCAAAAGAATCAGTAAAATACTATGGTAAGAAAGACGGAAAAGTTCAGAGACTGTGTTATCTGTATGCTATTGTATGGTCAGAAAAACATACATTTCATGGCAAATGTCACAAGGAATAAATACATATAAAAAGTGTGTTGTAATTCATATAGCTATCTGCTAAAGCATTACCCACAGAGTCTTAGAAGTGTCAGTAGGGTGCTAATGGAGCATTCCTCACAAAAGTAGGCCTAAAATTTCAAATATAAACCAGACACCTGGTAGGACAGGATGTTTGCTTTATATAATGAAAATAGAACACATTTTCATAAATGAAGCATTAACTTTGACAGAATTAGCCTAAGGACGTTTCGTTGAAATACATTGTGACTATGTAGCAATACTGATAATTTTCTTCATCTAGAAAGGGGAAAGGGAAGGAAGGGTCCCTATTCCTTATTCTGATTTCAAATAATTTTATGCTAGTGCGTCACTTGAACGAGGGTACCTCTGGTCTGAGTTACTGTCATTCCTACCGGCACTCCCTTTTGCCACTTCAACCAGTGAGGACACTGCAGAAGAGGAGGATGAGAAAGAGCTACTTCTAGTTTCTATAGAAACATTCCAGTTATAGATGGAGATCTTAAGTGCTGCAGTATTTCATGGGGGCACAAAGATTATTACTAAAGGTAGAATAGCTATGGAAGAGTAGCTCCTGTTGGCCAAAATCTTATTGTGACTGCAACTCAAACAGCATAACTTTTGGAGGTGATGGTCTCAGATTAAGAAGCCAGTGAAGACATTATCTGCTCTGCACTGAATTGCCATGGCCTGGTGCGTAACAGACAATGTCTATGCCAATTTCTTAACTACAGGCAATTTGCCTCTGAAAGTTCTATGTTTGCATTATGTTTGCTGGCATCATAAATAAGATTTTGGCCACTGTCTGATTAAGAGCCTGATTTGTGTGTATAAAGTGTGAAGATGGTAAGTGGCCTTGATGGCATTTGTTGACTGACTTTATGTACCCTATAAGATGAATACACAAATGCACCACCATACACCACATCTGGCCTAGTCAGTTAAAATAATTGAATTTACAACTAAATTGAGTTAAAATGAGTGCACATTTGTGTGTGTGTGTGCGTGTGCGTGTGCGTGTGTGTGTGTGTGTGTGTGTGTAAAAACAGTAAAACAGGATAAGGGAGCCCTCACAAAGAACAAAAATCACAACTTTGATCCAAGTACTGATGAGAGAAATAAAATGAAAGCATTTGTCTAGACTCAATAACAGACACATGGATTTTGATGGCATTTGGTTCTAAATTATCAAAGCAGAACACCTAGTAAATGCTATTAAAACAGCCCTGCAGATAACCCATATATCAGCTCTGCCTACACTTCCTTATGTTACAACTTCAACACAACAGAGATGAAAAGATGAACTGAACAATACTATGTGTCATTACAACTAGATGTGGTTGCCATGGAATGGCCTGGCACTTGAGATCAATGGTCTTATATTCTTTTTATTCTCTCAATATACAGAATGTGTGGTCCTTTCAGATACACAGCAACATGTCTGTCCTTACCAAATTAAATGGTTCGGCATATTAGTAATGCTAGTCTATGGTAATATTTTTGCAAGTACTTAAACATGAAAAAGCCCTTTATCTGATTTTTGCTATCCATCCCATTTGCACCATGAAAGAAAATTATCAACTAAATTCTACTTTATTTATATCTGCCTTGCTTCTCAAACATACATCTGATTCAAGCACAATCCTGTAAGGCTTTAAATAAATACATTTTTCTTGTTGTTTCTGTTGTTGGTATTGTTATAGGCATAGGCAATCACTCCTATTCTAGTCAAAGTCTTTCCAATGCAGACTGAAATACAAAGATAATCTACCACAGCCAGGCTCTTAAAATGAAAAACATACCTCTCTTGATCGGACAAATACTGATTATCCATATCTCTGGACCTGCGATCAACTGGGCTTCGGGAGGCATCATGGTGTCTAGTTGGAGAACGTGACCTTCTCATTTGATGAATTTCATCTAAACTCCTGGAAATATTTATAGAAGGATACACAATGACAATGTTTTTCTACTCAAATATCACAATCTAGTCAAATTATCTCACACATTCAATAGAAACTGTCAACACTGATGATTTGGCTGGAAAGGAAGGCACACGTATGGCATACAATTAAAAAAATACAGTTCTATTCCATTAATCTTCCTTGTGATCTTTACAATTGGCAAAATAATGGAGCTGCTGTTTCCAATCAGCCAATCATCCATACCAAGATACCAGAAAGAAAGTCTCTTCTGCTTTGTCACTGTAAAAAAACAGTAAACCTTTTTCTGCTTCTTCTGTGATCTTAAATACCTCAGCTAACAGTGATATACAATCGTCTCTTTACTACTTCTCTGTGAACCACTCAACTATAATGCACATATTTTATTTTTATTCTCTATTTCCTCTAAATTGCTCCCTCGTACCTCCTCCTCTAAACACCACAATTTTCTCAATTTAAAGCCAATATTTATGTTTCACAGGTTTGCTTGAGAGTTAGACTATCCAATGAGTCTGACATCTGAATCAGGACATGAACTTGTTTTTTCCTAGCCTACCAGATGAACACCCTACCCATTATCCCAGTGGTTCCCAATGTTGAGTCCCCAGAATGCTGTTCAACTGTGACATCCAATGAATGGCCATGCTGGCCAGAACGTCTAGGAGACAAAGTCCAACAATACCTGGGGGCCATGTCTGGCCACTCCTGCACTACACCATACTGGCTCTCAATGGATGGAAGCACGCATACGAAATAAAAGAACCAAAACCATACACCATTATGTGGTGGCTGGTGTATGTCCTTGCTTTTCGCAGTTACACAGATCACCTGTCTATGATGTTTGGGACTTCATATCCCCCTGTGGAATTACTTCTTTAAATTGTGCAACATTCTTTAAATTGTGCAACTCAGTGTAGTGCGTTATTTGTCTGGAGAAAACTCTCATAATAGGAATCATGGTGAAGTGTATGCTATAATACATACTTAGCTAAATGTAATGGTGATAGTCTTTCCAGTTGCTGAAAATGGCAGAGTTTCCCCTCCCATATCCCAATTTTAGATGGTTTAATGTTGTAAACCTATGGTTCCCAGCCTTGGATAATCCCGGTGTTCTTGGGCTGGCACTCCCAGAAACCTCAGGAAGTTGGGAACCACTGCTGTAAACCTTGTATCACTGGGGTATAAATGAAGGTATAAACCATCATGGGGATTATGCCACCCACCATTCTGCCTTAGAAAAAAATGGGTAGGCAACAGAATTTCCTTATAGTGCTACAACTAGATGCAAGTGTTTGTTCTGGGCATGCTGTGGTAATAAACTGCCAAATTAAAATACGCATCATGACACTTCTGGTGTTGAATTTTTAAAATGTTTGGCCATTTCAGGCCATTTCTAGGTCTGTCGTGGCCCACAGTGTATACAGGGTGCATGAATTTTTTCTCAGGACTGCTCAGATTCCAAAATATAAGATTTTGGAAAATAGATTAGCTTCAGATGAACTACAGCTGAAACAAAATCCATCAAATACAGAACTGAAAGAGAAGATAAAGTTAGTACAACACCAGATAAATATATTGCTCACTGAGGAAACTCCAAAGAAACTTAAATTTGCAAAGCAAATTTAGCATATGCAGGAATTATAGAAGCCCTCAAAAAGCAAAAAGAAAAAAGAAAAAAAAAAGCGGGGTGGGGGAAATCAGGCCCAGATGGTCTTGTAGCTGAATATTACAAAGAATTAGAAAATGTATTGCTTAAACCAGTGGTCCCCAACCTTGGGCCTCCAGATTGGAGAAAGATTTTTGAAATTAATTAAAGCTGTATCCAGCAAAAGGCAAAAGTTAGAATCAATGAAGAGCTGACAAAAGAAATACAAATACAGAAAGGTACAACACAGGGATGCCCTTTTCTGGGAGTTGAAGTCCAAGAACATCTGGAGACCCAAGGTTGGGGAACACTGGCTTCAACCATATAAGAAACTCTTGAAATTTGTTGAAGAAAAGGGAGAATTGCCACCAATGTGGTCCAAAGCGAAAATCTCTCTCATACATAAGGAAAACACGGACAGTAAAAAAATAAAAAATGACAGACCAATTTCATTACTAAACATGCATCTAGTTATTATATTGGTGGATCCAATGGCCTCAGTTGAAGACCTGATGAATTTTGGTGATGTGGCAGGCATGAAAATAAACCAAAAGCAAACAAAAATACTTGTTAAAAATATGAGAGAGCAAGAACGACAGAAATTAATAGAAAGGACTAACTTTCAAAGAAGAGAAGAGAGTCAGATACTTAGGGATCCAAATCACAAAGAAAACTAGTACATTATTCAAAGACAATTATATGAAGTTAATTAAAGAGATACAGAACAGCTTAGAGAGATGGGACAAATTACAGCTATTGTTGATGGGAAGAATAGCAACCATCAAAATGAATGTTCTACCTAAAATTTTATTTTTATTTCAGACAATTCCCATAATATGAAAACAGTCATTTTTTTCAAGAACTTTATAAGACAATTATGAGATTTGTGTGGCAAGCTAAAAAACCAAGAATTAAAATCAAAGCAATGCAAGATGCCAAACAAAGAGCAGGTCTTGGTCTTCCAGGTTGGATATTGTATTATAGAGCCTGTGTATTGGTCTAGATAAAGGAATTTATTTATTCATTTATTTATTTTATTTATACCCCGCCTATCTGGTCATTGCGATCAATGGATAATTTTAGATAATGATAGACTATTCAAGTTGGAAGGATATGATTTACAGTTAGGTTGGCATGCTTTTCTATGGTACAAAAAAAATAAAGAGCAGAAAAGTTTCAACTCACATATGATAAGAAGAGCCCTACTAGGAACTTGTAAAAAAGATCATCCAGCAGATTTACCAAAAAACACCAGGCTGGGTATCATCCATAGAGGCCTTTACACAACCTAACCTCATGACAGAAGCGAAACTCTTAA